TTTCTCCCAGGAAATAGGGATGCTGAGGGCTGAGTGAGGCTCCCTCCATCTAAAAAAAAAAAAGAAAAGACCCAGCTATTTATTGCCCAGTGCCACCCCCATATTAAAGGTGATGTTTCCCAGACTCTCAGCCTATTCTCTCAAAATGGACAGACTCCATACCTGTGCCCTCAGACATAGTGGCCACCAGCCCGGCAGGGCTACTAAGTGCTTGAAATAGGTGAGTCCAAATAGAGTTGTGCTATTGAGTGTAACACACACAGGGTTTCATAGACTTAGTACCAAAATAGTAATAATAACAGTATTTTACATATATTTGGTTAGATTAAATATATATATATTGTTAATTAGGTTATTGTATTACATATTAAGTAGCATGTAGTTACATAGATAACTATATTGATGGCATTAAGATGACTATAGTTTCAATACATATATTATATACATGAATGTTAGGTGTTATATACTTTATATATTATAAATTCTATACTATATTGATATTCATATAACATACACTATTTATATAATAAAATTAATATGTCAGTAATATCACTGTTCTTACTATAACATATAATTGTATATTACTGAATATTTTATTATTATTTCATCTCTCTTTGTACTTTTTTAATGTAGAAAAGAAAATTTAAAACTACACATGTGGCTTGCATCCTATCCCACCCACACACGCACACTATCTAGGCAGAAATATTGTAAAGTCAAATACTCATTATAAATAATACAACCAGCATTTCAGTATTTATAATATTTATTTTCATCATTAAAGTCACACAGACTAGTTTTTGAAAGTTCAAAGTGTGGCATACTATACAATTCCACTGAATATTATTCTTGAGACGACAAAAGGATAGAAATAGAGAGTGGATTAGTGGTAGCCAGGGGTTAGGGACAAGGCCGGGGAGGACATGATGCCCCGGGGATCCCTATGGCCATGGGAGTGTCCTGAATCTACCTGCATCAATGCTGATATCCCAGTTGGGGG